TATCCACTCGATGCTAAGAATAATTTCCTTTAAATTATCATTATGTCTTTAGTTATGCATTAGTCCATAAATAATGCTTTAAGGTCTTAACTACTCATATAGTGTATAGCTCAAAGGTTCCAAAGATGAGAACAATCCTTTCATTAATGGAAACCAAGAACATGTGGGGATGTTCCTTCGTATCATATTCATATAGTATTTGGGAGAATTGCCTTTTTCATTCAACATATTAACACTAACATAACCATATGATAAAATTCGTATTCATATCATGACATAACATTCATATAATAGAATAATATTCATGTTCATATCATATCATTGCATACTTGTTAATATCATAGAATACTTGATCAAATTAGGGTTGTAGGGAAGAGGAACAAGACTCAACAAGACATTTCATAATTCAAGAAAGCACCTCCACCATAAGTGGAACAACAATTCAATATAAGACTATAGAACAAGTAAGCACCTCCACCATAAGTGGATCAACAAGTCAACATTAAACTATAATCAAATTGAAAACCTTCATTCATATCCTTTAAGGATTTCTTCAAGATTCAACCCTAACTTCATGATATTCATTCATCATATAGGGAAACATCATAATACAATATTGAATTACATAGAAACATACTAGATTCTCACCCTTGATTCATTAATCAAAGCATACTAGCGTTTAGATTTGAGAAAGAAAGGAAATCATGGGTCTTATGGGAAATTTTTTCAACAACCATAGACATTACCTAAATTCATCCATAAAACTTCATATATAATCATGAACAAAATAATTCATTTTATTGAGGTTTACTTTTGATAATATAAGGCTTACAATTAAGAAAGAAGGGAAAGAACATGGGTCTTTGGGGTTCATTCAAAAACTATCAATACAACATGAATTAACCCATGATTGAATATATCTAATTAAAAAATCATAATTTATTAATTGAAATGTTTTTAGAAGGTGACCCATGCTTTGGATGAAATTTAGAATTTTGGGAATTTGAAAACATAGTTGAAGAGGCTTCTTGATGATAGCTAACCAAGAATAAAGAGCTCCCATAGCTTAGGCGTACGTATCCATGAAAATCCTTTAAAAAAGCTTCCATCTTCAAGCTTTGCTTGATCTTCTTTTAGGTTTTCAATAGAGGTTTTTGAGATATGAGTTTTGGAGAAACTTTGGTGGTAAAGTTAGTTATGATTTGGGGTGTTGACTTGTTGTGAATTAAAGGATTAATTTAAGGGTCCTATTAACTATTTATAGGAGGTTATTTGACCACTTAACCAATCCCCTAAGCCCTTAATTAATTAGGTAACTTGATTCCCAAACCCCAACTTAAAACTAAACTTACCAAAGGCACCATTTATGGATCCCCATCTATGGACCGTAGATTGATATATTGTCCATGGTTTAGTCTCATGGTTGGGGATTCATAGTGCTTCACTATTTTGGGTATAACTTTTACTCTGAAATTGGAATTAGGCGAACTCGGTGGTGTTGGAAAGAGGACTCATAAATCTTTAATTGTATAGGTAATGGACATCTTAATTCATTTTGAGCTATGAGATATGAACATTTGAAGTTGAACCTCACTTACCTTGACCAACTTCTTGATAGCATTGCAACCCTCGACTCACTCCACCACTCGTGGACCATGATTCCACTCACAGACCGTCCTGGGAGTCCGTGGTTTGTGGTTGTGGCTTGCAATTGAAGACCAATCCTTCCTACGCTAAGTCATAACCCACGCTCATGACTTACGGGGCGTGATATCCCTCTGTGAACCAAGTTGTTTTTTACAGCTTTAGGGCAGTGTTGGGGTCCTCTTCAAGGACCCCTTGGATGGTTCTTGAGGGAGTCGTACCCGGTCATTTAACCCCTAAACATGTACATATAAGTATGAGAGTTACTTCTACTAGTTTTCACCCTTGTATAGGACTCCAAGCTTCAACGACAAGACCCTTACAACTAACTAGTTCACATGACTAGTTTCCGAACGTCATGGTCATTTCTTGACGTTTGACCTCTAAAATCACCAACCTAACTTCAATAGACATTTTACATCATTTAAACAATTTCATACTATAAGCTAAAATGTGACGCTCTATTTTAATTTACTAGATTTAGTCAAGCCTTAGTTAGGTCTTAATAGTTCGTATTGGGTGTTACAATATCGCCTCCTTGGGAACATTCATCCTCGAATGACACTTAAAATATCTTAAGGAATCAAAAACTCAAACTAGTAGACCAACAAACATGTAATGGTCAAAGTGATGTAAATCAAAGGTACACCACACACAATGAGCATCATTTTTAAAAAAGAGGAACTTAAACTCCAATTCAACATAGTCAACGCAAATATAAAGAAGTAGGAACTACATCTATCAATCTATATGCATGATATTACCATGTTTAGTTATTTTCAAGGACGAACTACCTTCTCCTACTCATAACATACTTAGGATCCATCATAAAGCTCATACGTAAGTTTCCATGTTCAATAGCACTCTTTAAAGGAGGAACTTCTCAATTCCTCATTAACACATACTCATATCTTATTTTCATTAAGTACAATAGATCAATTATAAGCAATGCACTACAACATGAGGGAAGCAAATCACACAAACTCATCTTTATTCAAAAACACAAGTTTTTTTATGGAAATGTACAACCCTCATTAATTCAAATTAACATGGGAGGAACTAACTCCTTCACTCTATAGGCAAGTTCAATACCACATAAAGAGCTAACATGTCATTTCATACGAACACATTCAAGCATATTTATTAATTCACATCATGATGTCAATTATGTCGTATTACACACAATGCACCACTTAGGAGAGAACCTCCATTTGAAAACACATCTCATACAACATGAAAAAATAGGGGCTACCTCTACAAACTCAATATGCATGCAAGTTAAGACCTATTCCATTTCATTGGAGGAATTTCCTTCTCCAACTCAAATCATGCCTATCATATCAACTTAAGCAAACTATACAATTTATTCTCAAAAGCACCTTTAAACCATTCACCTTATGAATCACATAGGCTACTAATACTAATTGCCTATCAACATGAGAAACATGAGACATGAAAATTCATTTTCTCTTAAAACATGAATTCTCAAGAAGATGCATATCATTGGGAAATCTTGATATCATATAAATCACACATGACTCCTAACATAACATAAGGTCAACTAAGCTTGTTCTTGAGCTAGAATAGGAATGGAAGAAAGAGATGAGGATGTCGGGATTTCAACAAGTCATGATTTCTAAGCATACCATTCCCACCTTAGGAGGAAGCCCTCACTACAACCCTCAAGAAAACTTCTTTCAAGTACTCCTAACAGCACAACCAAACTCCATTTTTGCCATTTTTGCAAAAGTATATGGTCCTTAACATCTAGAAGTACCACCCTCATATGACTCAGTAAGTACCAATTCCAAAACAGGATGAAATTTTACTCAATTGCCATCCTACTCAAAAGGTGATAAATAATACAAAAATCAAGAGTAACATATTCTTCTAATTATCTAGATCCTATCATCAATAAAAAGATATCTTCCATAAACCGTCTTTACTAAACTCAACCCATTAACCGGGGTAAAGTCCAAAAAAATTCTATTAATCCATTTAGAGAACTTTAAGACTCATAGCCTCATCATAATAGATAAGGTAATGTAGGAATATAACGTAGAACCTACCTTCACATGAAATTACCAACATACTAGTACCTCTATCCAAACCTTCACTATGATTTCACTCAAGATCTCATATGAGTGTACAACTCCAGTTCTAAGTTGCTCAAACTCACTAAACCACACAAGGTGAGGATTTCAAGTAAATCCAAACATGAATATCTAAAACACTCAACTCTTTATATCCATCACTCGAAGTGAGTCCATCAATGGAGATCTCAAGAAAGCCTAATTCGTGAACATCAAGGACAGTCCATAACCTTACCATTTAAGCACATTATACCTCACTTTGGTTAAGCCTAAACAAACTCTTTACAACATTATTCCTTTTAAATTTTTTTAAGGACGGAGCAAGCCATAACTAAATTTTTACACTCCTTAGACAACATAATTCTAAACCATTTAGGATTTCACTTCTACCCTTTTTAAAGGAGTTTACTCACTCAATATAAATCTAGGCATCACTCAAGCACCACTATTCCTTAAAGTCCATCACACCATAACTCCCATCATGGTTAAGTTAGGTTATTCCAATCCACCATATATGGTCCCTCTTAAAATCCATGAATACTAAGGATAGCATAAAAGTTCACCATATCCTATTTATCAAGTCACAACAGACAAGTATCACCGAAATTACTCCTATAAGGTTCCTTACCTTGTACATCTCATCTATAAACTCGAGAGGATCTTCCTTTATCTTTGACCCATCAAATTCTGTATCTAATATATTGGAACCCTTAAGATCCACTACACTCACCATTAAATACAAGTTTAATTTTTTTGGGGGTGGGTGTTGGGTCGACGATCGGGGTGAAAAAATAAAATTTTGAAGTTGAAAATATTTTTTTTTAAAAAAACACTCATTTTTTTAGGGGGTGGGGTGGGGTGGTCGAGGATCGTGGTGAAAAAATAAAATTTTGAAGTTTCAAATACTTTTTAAAAATAAACTTTATTTTATTTTTATTTGTTTTTATTGTGGGGGGGGGGGGGGGTGGCGGTGGGAGGGTCAAGGGTAAGGGTGAAAAAATAAAAATTTGAAGTATAAATATTTTTTAAAAAACAAACTTAAATATTTTTTTGAAAGGGTTGGGGGCGAGTGTAGGGGGGCGGGTAAAAATTAAAAAAAATTGAAATTAGAAATATCTTATAAATATAACTTTTAATATATATTTTTTGGGTGGTGGGGGTGGTGGTAGGGGGCTAGGTGTAGGGGTGAGGGTGGGATAAAAAGTTGAAGTTAAAAAACTTTTTTTGAAAAAAAACAAGCTTTAAAAAATGGGGGGGGGGGGAGTTGATTTGAGGGTAGGGATAACTTTTTTAGCAGTTTTGATCTTCTCTGTTTTGATCTTCTCTTCTTTCTGATTCATCAATTGTTCACCATCATTTCAAGTAAACAAAGCTCATCATAGTTGAGATCACTGGCCAAAGTTCCACTATAGCAGTGGGAAACACAATTGACGTAAGTAATCTTCTTTACATCCATGCATCTGACTATCCAAATCTAGTTTTAGTTACTGTTAATTTTGAAGGAATCGGCTATTGATCATAGAGGCAAAGTGTAATGAGGTCCTTATCTATGATAAACAAGTTAGGTTTTATTACCGGTGAACTCAAACGACCTTCCCTTAATTTCCCTCAGTACTGTCAATGGAAGAGATGTGACAATATGGTCACATCATGGATTCTTAACTCTCTTAGCAAGGATATTGCGGATAGTGTAGGATAAGTTTGTGATGCTGCAAAGTTGTGGAAAGAGTTGGAGGATCGCTATGATCAATCGAATGGGGCTAAACTTTTTCAGATTCAAAAAGAGATCAATGATCTCAATCAGGGTATACTTGATGTTACTGTGTATTACAGCAAAATGAAGAAACTCTAGGAGGAATTAAGTAAGTTGAAAATTAAGAATCAATGAAGATGTGTATGTAATTGTGCTGGAAAAGACACTATGCATAAGGTAGAACAAGATAAGAGGTTAATTTAATTCTTAATGGGGCTGAATGAAGTCTACACAGTTATTAGAGGTAGTATACTGTTGATGAATCCCTTACCATCTATGGCTTAGTACTTTGCCCTGTTAGTTCAAGAAGAGAAACAATGATAATTCAAGCCTCAAAGTCAGATATTCGCTGAAAGAAGTTCAATAAACTCTTCTATAAATACTAGCTCATCAATTTCTTCGACTGGAAGACCATTTAGAACAAACTACTCATCTAACAATCAATCTACAAAAAATAATCTAGACCTTTATGTAGTCATTGCAGGAGAACAGGGCACACCGTTGATAAATGTTACAAGTTACGTGGCTATCCTAACCAGAACACCAATTGTACTGGACAATCTTTCAATTAGAAAGATACACCAATACTCGGAATCAAAGATCAACAATCAAAACCACAAGTTTCTAAGGGTAAAGGAGTAGTAGCTAATGTTTTTGCAGATGATATAAGAGTAATTGATGAATCTCCATATGCCAATCTCAGTAGTGAACAATATAGCCAACTTATTAGTCTATTGCAGCATTTTCAGTTGGGGAAAATAGGAGATGGAAACAATGCGGAGTTCCAAACTTTGCAGGTATTCTATCTTGTCATTCATCTACTGATTTTAATACACTTTCATGTGGTTATCTCAAATCAAAGAATGGCTTATGGATACTAGATTCAGGATCTACACACCATATGACCTTCATTAGAAACCACCTTTTTAACATCACAACATTGCCATACCCTTTCCTAGTAAAATTGCCAAATGGATACAATGTTAAAGTTACAGAAGTTGGAAATGTAAGGTTTACTGATAGGAACACATTGTACAAAGTTCTCTTCATTCCTTTCTTCAAATATAATCTAGTCTCTATCAGTTATCTAGTTTCACATCTCAAATGTATTACTTCCTTCTCTAATTCATCTTGTATCTTGCAGGGCCTTTCATTGAAGAGCCCTCTGGAGATTGGTAGAGCACAAGATGGATTATATTTCCTTTGTTCACACTATCTACTAAAGATCTCATCCATCCCTTAACAATTAATTACAGTTCAATCAGTTCAATGCCCTTCTTTCCATAACAATAAAATAGTCTCTCCTTGTCAATGTTTGCAATTTGACTTCACATAACAATTCTGGTTCATTTTCCAATGTAAGAAGTCTGTTTTTTCATTCTGTTTCAAATGTAATGAACACCATTCCAAGTAATGCACACAATGTTGTTTCTGATTCTATGTTCCATCCACAGCATACAAAGTACAATGATCTGCTATGGCATTACAGGCTAGTCCATGTACCATTTATAAAAATGAAGGGCATCGCATCAATCCCTGTGAAATTTTCCCCTAAGCAGTCTTTCATTTGCAACATATGCAGTATGGCTAGATAGACCAGACTACTCTTCTACCCAAAACTCACCTACATCTAAACTGTTTGAATTACTTCATGTTGATCTTTGGGGACCCTACCATGTACCTACTCTTGAAAATTTCAATATACTTCATTACCCTAGTTGATGAGTTTAGTAGATGCACTTGGACACATCTACTAAGTTGTAAAAGCAATGCATTGCACATCTTCAAATCTTTTGCCAATATGGTTGAAAACCAGTTCAATACAACAATTCAAACCATAAGATCATACAATGGTCTTGAATTTGTAAACCAAGAATCCATCATGTACTTTATGTCCAAGGGAATACTTCACCGAAAATCATGCCCTTTCACACAAAAAATCATGCCGATTTGATCTTAACCATTTTCTAATCTTGTTCTTGTAATGTTGTACCATAGCCAACCTTCTTCTCACCTCTTAACACTTCAAGCTGCTGCTCTTTGGTGCAATCAAGAAGGTAAATCCTTAAGCTTTTTTGTAAATTGACTTAGTGCCACTATTTTTAACGAGTCTTTTTGCCTCTTTTTTTCTTTCTTTGTGCACAATACAGGATGATGGTTTAGAAGCTATACAAGCCTAGTGTGTAGTTAGGTGTTAGTGTAGATTTTTGTTTTTTTTCATATCAATGGAACAAGTGTATTTGGAATTGTCTTAGTCAGATACATTAGTTACTTCCAGCTTAGGTTTTCACCTTTTCATCTAGCAGGTTAGATCATTACTATCATATGGTATTTTTGACTAGATTATGGAATGTCTTCCTCCTTATGATTTGAGAAACGTCAGCATGTACATACCATGTTATATCTCATCCTCTTTAGTGCATCATCTAGTGGTAATTTGTACTTCCAAAATCATCACATAAAGAAGATTTTTACATGAAGTCCTTTAGACCACATGTTCTAATAGGTCTCCCTCTTCTGGCCTTGAGTCTTATGTACTACCATTGGCTTTGAGTCCTCTAGTAACTATTATGCGCTGTCAATCTCCTTTTTAGGGTTTGGTAGTTGTATGGTTTTAGTGATGTGCTCCACTATATCCTTAGGTAGGAGCTGTGTCGATTTCTCCTTATTCCATTCTCTATTGGTCTGCACCTCATTAACATAATGGAATTCATTCATCACAAGAGATTTTGATGTGGGATAGTACAGTGCACACAATCCTATCCAGTTGTCATACAGACTTCAGTATTTCCTAGTATGACACCATATATAATGTCTCTTAAATCTCTACTCTTTAGTGTAGAATTTTTATTCTTTTTTCATATGGATGGAAAAACTGTAGTGGGAAATGTTTAGTTGCTATTTCATGTGTTTTGGAGAACCCTCACTTCATATGTATGAGAAAGAGGAAATGGATGTTTAAAAAAGAAGACTTTATAGTGAGTAGCCATTACTAAATTTAATTTGGGAGACATCCTCTCGTTTTGTAAAAAATAATGTATGGGACAGTTGATAGGCTTCTAAACGTGGTTTCCAAGTAGTGTTCTAAACAAAGGCAAACAAGTTGTGACTTAGCAGGAAGATGCCATTTTCTATGGCTAAAGATTGACATGAGAAGCCCATATTTTTTATGACACATCTTTTTCTCAAAGAAAATATAGAGGCAAGTCAACTGCTTGTAGTAGTAAAAACTTATTTAAGTATTTTCTAGCTTTTGGAATTTATTGTTATGTTGTGGTTTCATGATTCTTGCATGTTATCACTGCATCTTATCAATGACATGTTTTCTTCACTTTCAATTTTCCATTTTATTAGGTGCTTTACTTGGGAGGGGGTAGAGGCTAAGGGATAGGGGGTAGGAAAGGCGTGTGTAGGAATGAGGAAGGGTGTAGGAGGGGGTAGAGGGTAGGGGTAGGAGGGTTGGAAAGGGGGTAGGGGGTAGAGGGGGGAAGGGGGGGTACGTGGAAGACGATAGGAAGGGGTTAGGGTGTACGGGGTAGAGAGGGTAGAGGGTAGGACGGGGTTAGGAAAGGGTAGGATGGAGGGAAGGGGGATAGAAGGTAGGGAGTAGGGGGGTAGAGGGTAGGAAAGGGGGAAGGGGAAGAAGGGTAGGGGATTGAGGGTAGGAAGGGGGAAAGGGGGGGGGAAGAGGGTAAAAGATAGGAATGAGGGGGTGGGAAGAGGATAAGGGGTAGAGGGTAGGAAGGAGCGGGTAGAAGGGGGGAGGGGTAGAAGTGGGGTAGGAAGAGGGGATAGAGGAGGGAAGGATAGGAGGTAGATGAGGGTAGTGGGTGGGAAGGGCAACACTCAGGGGAAGGGGGATAGTGGGTAGAGGGTAGGGAGAGGTATGAAGGGGGGGTAAGGGGTAGAGGGTAAGGGGGGAAGAGGGTAAAAGTCATAGAGTAGAGGAAAGAGGGGTGGTAAAGGGTAGAGGGTAGGCGGGGGGAAGAGAGGGCGAGGGGCTAGTGGTAGAGGGTAGGGGGAAGGAGGTAGAAAGGGGGGGAGGAGGGATAGGGGTTAGAAAGGGGTAAGGGGTAGGCGATAGAGAGGGTTGGAAGGGTAGGAAATGGGTAGGCAGGTAGGGGGATAGAGGGGTCGGAAGGGTAAGGGATAAAGGGGGTTGGAAAGGGAAAGGATGGGAATGGCGGGAAAGTTGGATAAATGGGGTAGGAAGGGAGGAAGGATAGGAAGGGGTAGGGGGTAGGTGGTTGGAAGGGTAGAAAGTGAAGGAGGGGAGAAAGGAAAAGGTAGGAGTTAGAGGGTAGGGAGGGGTAGGAAGGGGGGTAGAGGGTAGGAAGGGGTAGGAATGGGAGTATATGGGGGGTATAAGGGTAGGAAGGGGGTAAAGAGGGGGTATGAGGGTAGAAGGTAGAGTGTAGGAGGGGATAGGGGTAGGGAGTAGAAGGGGAGTAGGGGGAAGGGGTAGGAACGGGGAGGGAGGGGTGGGAGAATGTGTAGGGGATAGAAGGGGGGAAGAGGGGGTAGGGGTGTGGTGGAAGGAGGGGAAGGGGGTAGGAAGGGGTACTGAGGGGGGAAGGGGTAGGAATAGATGGTATGGGTAGGAAGGTGGGAACGAGGGTTAGAGGGTAGGGGGTGAAGAAGCGGTTATAGGGTAGTAAGGGGGGGTAGAGGGCAAGAGGGGGGAAGAAGGGTAGGGGTAGGATGGGGGGATGGGGGTTAGAGGTATAAGGGAGGGAGGGGGTAGGGAAGTATGGGGTAGAGGGTAGATGGTAGGAGGGGATAGAGGGTAGACGGTAGAAGGAGGGGGGTAGAGGGTAAAGGGTAGGAAAGGAGGTAGGGGATAGTGGGTAGGAAGGGGGGGGGGGGTTAAAGGGAGCATAGGGGTAGATAGTTTGGGGGTAGGAGGTAGAGGGTAGGAGGGGGTAGGGAGTAGGATTGGGGTAAGGGGTATGGGGCAGGGGGTAAGGGTTAGGAATGAGGGAAATGGGTAGGAAGTGGGGAAGGGGGGAACAAGGGGTAGAGGATAGGAAGGGGGGAGGGGGAAGTGGTTAGAAATGAGGGAAAGGGTGGTGTGGGGATGAGAGGGAAAGGGGTAAGAAGTGGGGAACAAGGGGTAGGGGATATGAAGGGGGGAGGGGGAAGTGGTTAGGAAGGAGGGGTAGGGGTTAGGAAAGTGGGTAGGAGGGGGGTAGGAAGGGGGAAGAGGGGGTAGGGGTAGGAGAGAGGGTTAGGGGATAGAGGGTAGGAGAGGGGAAGGGTAAGAGGTAGAAAAGGGGTAGGGGATGGAACGTTGGTATGGAGGTAGGGTGTAGAGGGTAAAGGGTAGGAGGGCGAGTAGGGAAGAGTGTTAGGGGGTAGGAAGGGGGGAAAGGGGGATAGGGGGATGGAGAGGGGTAAGGGTAGGAAGGGGGAAGGGGTTTGGAAGTTATAGAAACAGGGGGAAGGGGGGCTGGGTAGGAAGAGGGGAACAGGGGTAGGAAGTAGGAGGGGGAAAGGGGTTGAGGGGGGAATAGGGGTAGGGATAGAAAGGGGGAGTGGAAACGGAGGTAGCGGGTAGAGGGTAGAAGGGGTGGGGATGTAGGGTATAGAGGGTAGGGGGTTGAAGATAGGAGGGTGGGTGGGGGTAGGGGGTAGAAGGAAGGAGGGGGGATGGGGTAGAGTGTAAAGGGTTAGGAGGGGGTAAAGGGTAGGAAAAGTTGTAAGGGGGTAGGGGGTAGTAGTAGAGGGTAGGAAGAGGGGAGGGAGGGGTAGAGGGTAAAGTGTAGGGGGGTAGGGGGTAGAGGGTAGAAAGGGATGGAAGGGAGGTAGGGGTTAGAGGGTAGAAAGGGATGGAAGGGAGGTAGGGGTTAGAGGGTAGAGTGTAGGAGGGGGGAGGGGAGAGGGGGGAGGTAAGGGGTTGAGGGTAGAAGGGGGGAGGGGGAGGATGGAGGGTAGAAAGGGGGGACGAGGTACAAGGTAGAGGGTGGGGGTATAGGGTAGGAAAGAGGGGAGGGGGAAGGGGATAGGGGGTAGAAAAAATTGAGTGAGGGGGAGTAGAGGGTATGAAGGGGGAGGGGGATAGGTGGTAGAGGGTAGGAAGGGTAGGAGGGGGGGGAGGGGTTAGAAGAGTATAGGGTAGAAGGGTAGAGGGTAGGAGGGAAGGTAGAGAGGGGGGTAGGGGTAAAGGGTATGAAGGGGGGGTACGGGGTAGAGGGTAGGAAGGGGGAGGGGAATGGGAGGAAGGGTGTTGAGGGTTTTAAGGGAGGGGGGAAGGGAGGGTAGAGGGTAAGAGGGGGTGTAAGGGGTGTAAGGGGTGTAGGGGGTAGAGGGGGGTAGAGGGTATGAGGGAGGGAGGGAGGGGGTAGGGACAAAGGGTAGAGGGTGAAGAGGCGGAGGTGGACAGTATAGGAGGGGGTGATGGTGGGGTGGTGGTGCGGAGGGCAGAAGCGGGGAGGAGTCTTGTGGGGGGGGGGGTTGACGGTAGAAGGTATGCGTCAACCTATTTTTTGATTGTTTGAATTTGAACTTGCGCCCATTTTCCCAGCGAGATGACTAGGTCCATTGCTAAGGTCTTAACGGACATTTATGAAAAGTTCCGATAATTTTTAGAACTTTATATCACAAAAAATTCATGGACCATAGCACACAATAATTGGCAAAATATGTGTTTTCCTGCTTTGGAGCTCGTTTGAACTTAAAATGACTAGGTCCGTTGCTAAGGTCAATCGCTTAGTTCTCAATGAATGTGTTTGAAAAATTTCAGTCATTTTGTTTTGGAAATTCCATATCACAAAAAATCCATGGAGTAAATAGCACATGAAAATTGATAAATGTTGTGTTTACCTACTTTAGAACTCGTTTGAACTTGAAAATATGTATGGATCACCACAAGACGAACTAGGTTCATTGCTAATGTCTTAAAGGATGTCTATGAAAAAATTTGGCCATTTTTTTTCAAAAATTTCATATCACAAAAAAAAAATCTATGGACTATATATATATAGCACATGAATATCAACAAAATCTGCATTTACCTGCTTTGTGTTGACACCCAATTTTGACCCTACTCGCTAGAAATTAATTCACGGGCTTCTAAATTCTAAACGAGTTGAAATAGTCGTCTTTATAAGATTCAAATATTTTTTTAAGTCATTTTGAAGTAACTTTAGTCGATTTTTTTTCTTTATATATTTTTAAAACAATGTATATTCTTATATGTTTCTGTATAATTAGCTTATTTTATAGGATATTCAAAAATCATCTCAACAGATTTAAGTTTTACTTACCATTTTATTAAATTAGCTTTAGTAACTTGTGGTTGAGACCCTTAGTTTAAAATTAAGTTTATTAATTTATCTTTCTATAGTTTATATATATATATATATATATATATATATATATATATATATATATATATGTTTTATAATCTATTATATATAATTAGGTCATTTTATAAATATTCGAAAATTGCCTTAAAAGATTTTTTTTCTTATATTTTTTTAATTTTTTTAAACAAACACCACTTTTAAATCTAGCCTTAATTGTCTACGTGTCTGAATTAATAAAGCCGATTATTTTATTTTCGTCGAACATAAGAAAGCTCGTTTAAATAATTTGTATTAATTCATCATATCTAGTTAGCACGTAACATTAATCTTTTTGGATAAAGTTTGGGCCAATTATTGATACAAAATTTGACCTAATACCCCAATTTTTAGCCCAATTCCCTTCTATTGCTTTACCCAAACCAGTGGCCCAGCCTCACTTTCGTTTTTCAACAATCCAACCCATATTTCATACCCAAATAATACCAAATCCCTTTAACTCGCCCCGACTCCTATACCCATATTTTCTTTCCCCCTCAGCGTGATAAAATACCAGAAGTGAAAAAATTCAATCAAAGCATCTTCAACGTTAACACAACAGTGACGCGCGACAATCCCATCCCTCTTTTTTTCTTTTCACTCGTTCTTTACACAAAGTAGCAAAAGCTGAGATTTCCACCCACGAATTCAAGTGCGCGTGAGCAATTCGCGTTCGCATGAAGTGCGACTAAACAAAAGGCATGGGACGACTCATTCCCCTTTGTCATCTCCCCCAAGACGTCCCTTTCTCGTCTGTTCTCGCAGCAGCAAGGCATGGCACGTGGAAATCGTCCTTGGGGTCATGAGGTCGAACCCATGAAATCCAGGGACTAGCACATGAAAATCCGCAAAATCTGTGTTTACCTTCTTTAGGGCTCGTTTGAACTTGAAAATATGTATTTTTTTTCTATGAGATGAACTGATCCCTTTGTTAAGGTCTTAACTGATCTCCATGAAATTTTTTGGCCTTATTGTTTTGGGAATGACCGATCACAAAAAATCCATGGACTATAACACAAAAAAATCGGCAAAATTTGTGCTACCTGCTTTGGGGATTGTTTGAACTTAAAAAAAACATTTTCCACGTGGGACGAACTGGGTCTATTGGTCAGGTCTTAACGGACGTCCAAGAAAATTTGGGTCATTTTTTCAGAAATCCACATCACAAAAAATCCTGGGACCATAGCAGATAAAAATTGGTAAAATCTTTGTTTACTGCTTTGGGGCTCGTTTGAACTTTAAAATGCACATGTTTTACCCATGAGATGAATTGGTTTAATTTCTAATGTTTTAACAGGCGTCCATGAAATATTTTTGTCATTTTATTTTGGGAATTCTAGATCACAAAATATCCATGAATCATAGCACATGAAAATTGGCAAAATCTATATTGACCAACTTTAGGACTCGTTTGAACTTGAAAATGCGTTAGTTTTCCCCACAGAACAAACTGGGTCCAACTTCTAAGGTATTAATAGACATCCATAAAAAAATTTTGATCATTTTATTTTGAAAATTCTAGATCACAAAACATCCATGGACTATACAAAAGATAAGCAAAATTTGTGTTACCTTCTTTGGGGCTCGTTTGAACTTTGAAATGCGCTCATTTCTCCCGCATGACGAACTAGGTCTATTGCTAAGATCTTAACGAATGTCCATAAAAATTATTGGTAGTTTTGTTTCGAGAATTCCAAATCACAAAAAATACATGGAATATGGAACATGAAAATTGGTAAAATATGTGTTTACCTACTTTAGGGCTCATTTGAAATTAAAAATGCGCTTGTTTTCCCTGCTGGACAAACCTGGTCCATTGCTTAGGTATAACAGATGTTCTTGAAAAATGTCGGCCATTTTGTTTTAGGAATTCTATATCACAAAAAATTCATGGAATATATCACACGAAAATTGGCAAAAAGTATGTTTAGTTGCTTTAAGCTTGTTTGAACTTGAAAATGCATCTGTATTTCCTACCATACAAACTAGTTCTATTGCCAAGGTTTTAAAGGACGTCATTGAAAAATTTGAACTTGAAAATGCATCTGTATTTCCTACCATACAAACTAGTTCTATTGCCAAGGTTTTAAAGGACGTCATTGAAAAATTTCAGCCATATTACTTTGGAAATTCCAAATTACAAAATATTCATGACTATATCACACAAAAATCTGAAAAATATATGTTAACCTGCTTTGTGACTTGTTTGAACTTTAAAATACGCCAGTTTCACCCACAGGAAAAACTAGATCCATTGCTAAGGTCTTAACGGAAGTCCATGAAAATTTTTGGCCATTTTGTTTTTCAGATTGCTAGATAATAAAAAATCCATAGAGTGTAGCAGGCGAAAATCGCAAAATCTGCATTTATCTTCTTTGGGGCTCGTTTGAGCATCAAAATGCGTCTGTTTTCCCTGCGTAACAAACTGGGTCTATTTCTAAATTCTTAACAAAAATCAATGAAAAATTTCTACCATTTTGTTTTGGAAATTCCAGAGTACAAAAAATTCATAGATTATAACACACGAAAATTGGCAAAATTTGTGCTTACCTGCTTTGGGGCTCGTTAAAACTTTATAATGCACTCGTTTGCCATGCGGGACAAACTAGGTCCATTTCTAAGGTTTTAACTGACGTCCATAAAATATTTGGGTCATTTTATTTCAAGAATTCTAGATCACAAAAAATCCATGGACTATCGCACACAAAAATCAATAAAATCTATGCGACGACAAAGTATAGAATTGTTTTGAAAGCATGGGCAAGACGTTGTATCACCACTTAGGCTCATCCTGGTGGTTGTCGGTTAGAGAATCTCCCACAGAACTATGTTAATTTCATATATAAGTAAATATTAGTTTTTTATTGCATTTTTTAATGAACTAAGTTGTCTTACTTTTTTAAAAAGCTTTAGATATATATTATATATGTTTTAAATTACTTAAAAACATACATTGAGTTGAGTATTCATTAGTGGATCGGAGCCAAGGTAAGTTCATCTTATTCTTATCAAGGTTAAGGTGTTTGTTTAGTGTTCCAATTCACATACTCGTACATCCAATGTACTAATGTCAGTTGGCCTACATTGTAGTATGATGGAGACGCATGCAACCAGGATCAGTATCCAGCGCCTCGTTGACCAAGTTTCAGCACTCAGAGTCACTGGTGAACCTCCTTAAATTATGGAGTATCCTTGTTATTGCTTTTCAATCTTTCATTTAGAAAATGTTGTGGGATTTGTCGCAACATTCATCATAGTATTTTCAGAGGCTCCATAGACAAATACTCAGTTAGTTTAGTTGAGTCTCTTTTATTTCAGATATTATATTTTGAGACTTAAGTGTAATTTTGACCAAGACACTAATTTAAGTTATTTATGAGAATGTTCTTGCTTTATCATTGAGTTATGTCTTCCGATCAGTTAAGTAAGCCAAACCAAGGTTTCTCTTACGACCAACAATGGTCATTGGGTGTTCAGTCACGTCCAGGGTATAGGCTCAGGGAGTGACAAATATGTGCAAAAAATAATAATTCTTCACGGAAGATTCCATGAGGGTATTGCAAGAAAATTGTCTAAATGTCATATCACCAAAATATTTATTGGTTAACTCCCTACGTAGAAAATCAGTTAATTCTAATTACTTCTAAATTCCAGAAATATATGCACAAAATGGTGAGGCTTTACGTACTTCTCCCACAACTCCCTAAGGAGGGTTCCTAAAAGCATTTGCACGAAAATCATCGGGAAGTTGTATCACTCATGGGCTAACACATACAAAAACTAAGAAAATCACCTAATTTCTATAAAGTGGCTCATAAATGCCCAAACTATGTGTACAAAATGGTGAGGCTTTATGTGTTGCTGACCCCAAGTCTCTACAAAATGTTTTTGTAAAGGGTTTGCAAAAAAATTTGTCCAGAAGTCATATCACCATAATATTCACACCCGAACAACTCAGAAAATCACCTAATTCGTGTAACCCTTAAGTGCCCAAATGTTACTCCCCAAATTCCATGCATGGGGTTTTGCAAAAAAAGTCTTCCAAAGGTCATATAAAAAAAACTTAATGGACTAACAGACACAAAAAACTAAGAAAATAATCTAATTCATGTAAAAAATGACTCCTAAATATCCAAAATATGTGCAAAGAAGGTGATGATTCGAGTACTGCTGCCCCAACTCCATACAAAGGGTTTCGTAAAAGTTTTGCAAAAAAATCAAAATCCATATCACTAAAATATTCATGGTCTTAACATACGAAAAATATAGAAAATCATCTAATTTCGTAAAATTAATACTAAATGCTCATAATATGTGAAAAAAATGGCGAGACTTCACGTACAGCTCCCGCCCAACTCCCTATGGAATTTTACTTAAAGCTTTTGAAAGAAGATCATCCGGAAGTTGTATCACCAAAATATTAATGGTCTAACACATACAAAAACTTGAAAAATCACCTAATTCTTGTAAAATGCCTCCTAAATGGCCGAAATATGTGAAACAAATGGTGTGGTTTCACGTGCTACTCCCCCAACTCCCTACAAATAGTTCCCTAATTTTTTTACAAAAATTAATTCAAAAGTCATATCATGAAAATATTCATTGGCTAATAGACATGAAAACCATAGAAACAAATGTATAATTCTTGTAAAAATGTCTCCTAAATGCCCAAAATATGTGTAAAAATGGTGAAGTGTTATTTACTACTCCTCAAACTCCCTAAGGAGAGTTTCAAAAAGGAAGTTTTTTATTAAAATCATCGGGAAGAAATATCATTAAAATATTAATGGGATTACATACATGAAAATTAAGAAAACAACACATCTTGTAAAATGGCTCCTAAATGCCCAACGTATGTGCAAAAACTGGTGAGGCTTCTAGTAGTGCTCCCCCAATTCTTGTACCTATGAAGGGCTCAAAAATTTTTATAAAAAATCATCTAGAAGTCACATTGCCAAAATATTGATAGACACACACGAAAACTTCAAATAAACCATCTAATTCTTGTATAATGACTCCTACATGCCCAAAATATGTGCAAAAAATGTTGAAGCTTCATGTTATGCTCCCTCATTTCCCAATGGAGTGTTCCTTAAAGATTTTGCAAGAAAATCCTTTGGAAACCATATCACCAAAATATTCACGGGTTAGCACACAAAAACTAAAAAATCGCCTAATTCTTGTAAATTGAATCTAAATGCCCAAAATATATGCAAATATGTAGCTTCACTTCATACTCCCCACAAAGAGTTTCATAAAGGTTTTAGCAAACAAAATCATCTAGAAGTCATATTGCCAAAATATTCATGGGAAAACACACATGAAAGACTAGAAAATTTCTTAATTTCTAAACGGCTCCTAAATGCCCAAAATATGTGCAAAAAAGGTGTGTCTTCATGTAATCCTCCCCCAACACCTTATGGAGGGTTCCATAAAGTTTTTGCAAAAAATAATTCACAAATCACATCTTCAAAATACTCATGGGTTAACCACAACCATACACGAAAAACTAAGAAATCACCTAAATCCTATGAAATGGCTCTTATATGCCCAAAATATGTGCAATAAATAATGAGGCTTCACATACTACTCCCCAAATCTTGTAAAAAATCATCTGCAAGTCATATAACCAAAATATTTAGGAAAATTTTCACATATAGACACTCAGAACTTGCCTAATTACTCTTCATAGATATAGTTTGATAATTACAATTCGTAGCTACATGTTATATGGAGGAGAGAGGCGAGCAAGACTGGGAGAGAGAGGAGAAATGCAAGAGAGAGGGAGGAAATGAGTTGGAGAAAGGTGAATTGTATATATTTATCAATTAGATAACTGTAATTATACATATGTATTTGCATATATGGCAAGCGAGATTAGGAGAGAGTGGGGAGAGGAGAGCGAGACTAGTAGAGATAGGAGAGAGGCAAGCGAGATTGGAAGAGGGAGGAGAGAGATGAGCGATATAGGGCAGAGAGTGGGAGATAGGTGAATTATATATGTATATAATCGTATATTATACATATGCATTTGTATATATGGAAAGCGAGATTGTGAGAGGGAGGAGCGAGGCGAGCGAGAGAGGGCAGAGAGTGGGAGAGAGGTGAACTCTATATGTATATAGGTTAAATAATTATATATTATACATATGTATTTGTATATTCTGGAGAATTTTACATATATAAATGTGATTAATTATACAAACTCAGAGTTAGTTCACATAATTAATGCATAATGTTAGTAGCGAGTAATAATTATAGCAAACTATAGCTTTGATGAGTAATTAAATAGTATAAGCTTTTTTAACCGCATAATTTTTTCAAATATTTATGGGTTAACACACACGAAAAACATAGAAAATTGTCTAATTTTTTATAAATGGCTCCTCAATGCCCAAATTGTTTTACAAAAAGATTATGAGGCTTCACATAATGCATCTCCAACTCCCTATAGAAGGTTCCAAAAGAGTATTGCAAGAAAAATCATCCAGAAGCCATTTCACCAAAACATTCATTGGAAAACGCACACGAAAAATTTAGAAAATCACCTAATTTTGTAGAATGACCCTAATTTACCAAAATATGTGAAAATAAATTAGTGAGGCTTTAGGTAATGCTCTCCAACACCCTACGGAGTGTTCATATAAGTTTTGTAAATAAATTGTTGAGGTGTTATCACCAAAATATTCATAGGCTAACACATACGAAAAGTGAAAAATCGCCTAATTCGTGTAAAATGGCTCCTAGTATTCAAAATATGTGCAAAGATAGTTAAACTTCACGTAATGCAACCCCAACTCCCTACCGAGGATTTCGTAATGATTTTGGCAAAAACCTTCTAGAAGTATATCACTAAAATATTCATGGGCAAAACACATACAACAAACTGAGAAATTGCATATTTCATGTAAAATGACTACTAAATGCCCAAAATATGTGTAAAAATGGTGAGGCTTCACATACTATTCTCCCAATTCCTTATGAAGGTTCCATAAATGTTTTATAAAAAAATCATCTGAAAGACATATCACCAAAATATTCATTGGATAGCTCACATTAAATACTAAGAAAATTGCCTAATTTCTTTAAAATGACACGTAAATACCTAAAATATGTGCAAAAATGGTGAGGATTCACTTAGTTATCTTCTAATTCCCTAATGAAGGTTCCGTAAAGGTTTTACTAGAAAATCATTCAAAAGTATATCACTAACATCATAAAGGGCTATCACACAAAAACTGAGAAATAATTGCTAAATTCCTAAAATAATGGTTACTCAATGTCCAAAATATGTACAAAAAATGGTGAGCCTTCACATATTGTTCCCCAAACTCCCTACAGAGCGTTTCATAAAGTTTTTGCAAAAAAATCGTCCAAAAGTCATATCACAAAAATATTCGCTAAAAATAGAGAAAATTGCCTAAATTATAAAATAGCCCCTAAATATCCAAAATATGTGCAAAATATTGTGAGGCTTCACGTACTGTTCTCCAACTCTCTACGGAGGGTTGCTTAATGGTTTAACCAAAAAAAATGTTCGGAAGTCATATCACCCATAATATATGGGCCAACGCACATGAAAAATTGAGAAAATTGTCTTATTTTTCTGTAAAAATAGCTCCTAAATGTCCAAAATAAGTGCAAAAAATTGTGAGACTTCACTAATTGCTCCCCCAACTCGTTAGAGAGTTTTAAATGCTAGAATATGAAAGAGATTAGATAGAGATGTTATCCTCAATTAATTACTTTGAAAAAGGTAGAATATAAACTCACAATGTGTCAATTCAAAAGTGTGGACAAGTAATTAGGGATAAAGGAAGAAGGTGACTATAATCTATGCCCCACACATCCAGTACTCATCTTTCATCGGGTTCAGACCATTGGCCCCTACTTATGAAATTCAATATTTTATATACTTCAAGTTTTTGCATCGCTAGGTTGAAAATATGACTTTCTTGGTCCTTGGATTTTGCGAGGGGTTGTTGGAACAAAGATATTCATGGAAATTCTATGGCTATGTGGGTTTTTTCAGATGAAAATGAAAAGAATAGCCTCTTATATTATCATGTGGTCTAAATGCGGATATCTATGCTAATGTTAAAGAGTATGAAGAAAAAGTGAAAATAGTAGACGATGTGGTAATAAATGACAACTTTGGAAGGAATAGATCTAAGCTTCATTACATCAATGTTGAATATATCAAGTATTTGAAGTCAGATAAGTCTTTACTCAAGAGAAAATAACAACTTCAATGGTTCAAGGTGTGAAAAAAGTTAAAGTTGCTTTTTTTGGAATATAATAGATTGGTCTAGTAATATTTCTAGAATAGTGTTAATATCTACGATAAAAAAATATCTAGATATCCAGAAGATGAAGTTTCACGAGAATTTTC